AAGGTCCACAAGGTGGGGGCCCACGACGGCAGGGTCATGATACTAGTCCCCGTACAACCATGGCGATCCCAATCAGACTTTATCACTTGAAGGTAAAACGGTCACCAAGTTTAGTTGTATAGGTGTAAGTCGTTTCTTTTCTTTTCTAGATCATTGAAATCTAATCAAACATACTTTTGAATTGAAATAAAATGGTTATATAGTATTCTTTAGGTGGTTTGATTGGTAGATTCTTAATTGGTTTACTACACTCAAGATCGCCTTCATTCTTCACCGAGATCGAACCTATGAATTTCACAACCTTTGCATCCCCATGGATCGGAATCCCACACCACACATCGATCATCGGATCAATTGTTCATTTCTTTGGATCAAGATCATTAAGTAGAACAGGTCAACAATTATACTTAACCGATCGATTCCATAGCTATCCTAAATCGCAATCTTCAAATGATTCGAAATATCCGCTCATCGCTCTCTTGGCTCATCCTGATACTAATTTTTTTAAAGCTTTAGTCAGGTTTAAACAGATTAGGTTATATGCTAATGCGGTTAATGATCGGACTGTGCCTTTTGTGGCCGGTGCAGTTGAGGAACATGATGTGTTTCATTCAGCTCAGAAACTTGGTCAAAGGTTTTTGAAGGATCATGCCGAGTTTAAGAAATGTGAATTGGATGGACTTCAACTTTTGGCTTTGGGAGGGTTAGATATGTAAGTACCAATGTATAAACACTTCATTCGATTCAATCAGATCTCTAAAATTTTGAAATTGGTTCTCTAAATGGGTTTTCAGTCAATTAGATCCAGAATATTCACCTATCATTCAATCCTGTACTTTCAATCCAAACGCGATCCCCTCCCCAACATTTCTCTCAACACTAACGCCAACCCAAACGAAATCGATTTCACAGTACTTACCGAACCTACCCTTTTTCTTCAAACCATCCACCTACCCCTTCAAAGCACCCTACAACTACATCATCGCCATCATTTCTCCGGTCTTAGTACCTGTCTTTGTAACCTATGTTTTAGGTACATTTTTCTTTCAATCACAACAATCTAAGAAACGAATTAAGAAATATAGTGTTGGAGAATTAGGAGATGATGTGAAAAGGTTTAAGAGAGTAGGACTTTTGGATGAGATTGAACATGAGATGATTGAAGAGCTTTCGGGGTTAGGGTCGAGTTTGTTGATTGATCATACTCATCAAACCTCACTGAATGAAGAGAATTTAATCGAATTGGGGGACGAGAATCGGATGACTTCTAGTGGGGTTAGGATGACAAGACATCAAGGGTCTTTGGAAGATAAGAAAGATCTTGGTACTCGCTTGAAGATTGTCCCTGCGGTTGAAGGGAAAGGTGTGAGGTCTGAGCAGCTGGCAAAAGAAAGTGGTTTGACTGCTTTACATTTGGAAATGATTGATCATCTAAATCAGATTCCAGGTGTAGTGAAATACTTTGCATTGTTTCATGAAATTCGTCATTCACATGGTAAGTCACAAACTCTAATCTTTCAAACATTATCAACTCAATCTGATCAAACTTTTTCTTAATGATCTTTCTTTTTTTTCTTTTTTGTTTTTTTTTGTGGCGGTTGTTTGATAGGTGCTATTATTTATAGAGCCATGTTGAATGGAAGTAATGATTCAGGAGGTAGAAATGTGGTAAAACATTGGGTTGATCATTTCTTATTCTAATTTATTGTTTAGAATCACAGCAGACACTGGGTGTTTCTCTTCGAACAACTCGAACAACTCGAACAACTCTAGATTTCTTTTTTGATTGAAGTGTTATAACATGTATCAATCCTTTTTTCGTTTTTAGTTTGTTTTTTCTATAGATTTCATTGTCTTTATTTATGGTTTGTTGTTTTTGATAGAATGGGAAATGAAAAGTTATGTTTATGAAATCATCAGATCACGGTGTAATTCGAAATTGTATATTCTTGATAAAAGAGATCTGGGTTAAACTCAAGTCAAGATACTATTTATTACAAAATGGAAGTAATCAATGGAGGAGAAAAGTTGCCAAGGTATCACTTTAGAATTCTACAAAATGAGTTTAATAGATAATACACCTTACACTTGATTGTTTAAAAAGTCAAATAGAATAGATCCCAAGATGAAAAGAAAGAAATGATAATAAATTGATTAAGAAAAGAAGATGGGTTCATGATTTTTGACGTAAAGTTGAATTCGCTTTAGGTTTACGTTTCTTAAAAAGAACCTTTGTTTCTTCTTCAATCAAAGGTTTACAATCATCAAGTAAATTTAAATCAGGTTTAACCTCATCATCCTCACCATCTAACGATTTACTTTGACCGATCTCCACCGAGTTGGATAAGGTTTCTTCAGATTGAAGTCCATCTAAACGAAAAGGTAAGATCGGTTGAAGTGAATGAACTTCTTCTTCTTGTTTAAGTTGAACGTTTGTCTTTTTCTTGAGTTTGATTTCTAGGTTTTTAGTCGGATCATGGTCTACTTCTGGTTTCCTTTCACCGAATAACTTAGAAGGAGGTTCTAGATCCGAATTAAATTGGTTTGAAAGTTTAGAATGAATGGATTCATTATTAGGAAGTTTGGTGGGTGGGATAGGTCTTGTTGAACTTGCTGGGAGGGGTTTAGGAACCCGTTGAGCGATTTCCCATTTCCCAATAAACCCTTCGGTCATTCGGATTTCTTGTTCAGTGGGAGTTTCTTCATTCGTTCCTTCTTCTGTTTCATGAACTAATCCTAAACTTTTCGCATCACTATAATTCATTAAATCTTGGGCTCCTTTCCATTCTTCTGATTTACTTCCTTTCCATCTTTTCGTTTTCGAGTCTAGATCTTCTTCTTCTGCTTCTTCGTTTAATCGTTTAGAACTCGTACTAGATCGGTCTTGAGTTTCATGTGATAAGTTGGCAGCTAAATTGATCTTTTCAATCATGCGTCTTTCTTCTTCTTTTTCATGATTCGTTCTTTCTTCTTTTTTATAGATATCTCGGATATATCTCTCTAGATTTCCTTTGTGTCTTAATCCATTCTCATGTTGCGCTCTAGAAGGTTTATCATCCTATTATTTTTATTTTATTTTTTGAACGAGAAGAAAAACCATTTCAACTTTGTTAGGTTATTTTGTTATTGATGGTGATTTATGACTTACTCTTATGTAGATTTCACAGTATTTACAATAATATGATTGTTTTGATACCCAATATTCTGTCATGTTTCGAAAGATTTGATTTGATTTGATGTTAAGTAGAAAAGTTGTCGATTTCTTGATGAAGTTCTCTTTGATGAACAGCTTGAAGTTTGAACTCGTATTGGTGAACTTCGAAAACTATCTTACGAATTTCAAGTGTTTTGATTTAGGACTTTAGAGCATCCGCTCGTGCGGTAAGTCGGGTGCGGTAAGGTTAAATTTACCGCAAACGCGGGGTCTTTTCCACACCGGTGAAAAATTAGCCCCGCGGTAGTTAATTTTCGGTCATTTTGCGTTAGCGAATCGGTAAATTTACCAATTGGCTAACGCATGCGGTATCACACATCACGACTTGTTCCCGGCAACTCGACTCCAAAAACAAAACTCAACCAGACCTCCAACACCAAAGTCAACAACCAATATCTCCTTTTCACCACTCACACACGATGAATTCCAAGCCTTACAGTTGCATGAATCAACTCGAGAACGTTCGACACCGATCGATGTCTTCAATTGAAATAAGTCAATCAACCATCTTGAACTCGACTCCAAACCATTCAGATGAAAATGAAAGATGTCTAGATTCATATAGCTATGTAGAGGTCAATATTTAAGAAAATCAACATTAAAAGACCAATCATTGGAGGACTTTTAGGATCAAGTGATACAAATTAAAAATTGAAGTTTGGATTTTTATTTCCTAGTTTTAAATCTTTAAATCTTTTACAAGATCATTATGTGTATTCAGACTCATTAAAAGCTTTCTCGATGTAGTAAAGCCTTTGTTTTTTAATTGGAATTCATGTATTAAGATCTGAACAAACTCATGTTAAATTTGTAATTTTAAATTAAGATCTATCGATCGAGTAGATGAACAGGATGATATCGGGTCTTCATGTGTAGATGGAGTATTAGTATCTTAGTGCAAAGAAGAGAACAGTGCCTCTATCACATGAAAACTGGCCATGAAAGCAGGTGATGTGTACTCAAAAAATTAAAACTTTACCTTACTGCACGACCGGTGCGGAGTACATGCACTAGGGATTGGGCGGACACTGCTTGTTGGTGTCCCAAGCTGCAGTTCAAATTCAATTCAATCCAAAAATGACTGGATATCAGCCACTGTTCAAACGATATCAAAGCCAGCGATTTTTATTTTTCATTTTTTTGGAAGAAAAAAAAGCTGTGTGGCGTGACAATAAGAGCAGCATCCCTCTTGAGCCTACTCGCCTACACCAGCTTAAAAACACTCGTCCGGCCAAACAAGCAGCCTTTTCAAAAGCCTCTTTGTTTGGCTGGCTTAATTCCTGTCACAGGTATCCGCCGGGTAGCTCAGTAAAATGAATCAGGTGAATCAGTGACATCTATTTTGATATGAGTAGCCAAGTTCCGACAACTTCGATGGCGCCAGATCCGCTGGCTACAACTCGGTCGAACTTTTCGCCCAATCCCTACTATCTGTAAAGTTATAAAAGTTACAGCGCTGCTAATGCAAACGAGTGCGAAATTTGGTTGAGTTAAGTAACTTTTTACTTAATGTTGTGTTTGTTACCGCACGTGACCAAATTAACAACCGCAAACGAGTGCGGATGCTCTTAACACCTTAACCTATGGGTTTACACATAGTCTCGAGTACATACCTCATCCAAACCATACTGGTTCAAAGTCACATCCAAGCGTCAAGAAACTTTCATCCATGATGATTCCTTAGACATTGAACCCGATCAAGAGTCTTATGTGTTGTAGGACTTCAAGAAGATCCTTTGGACCTCTTGAGAGCAAATAGCCTTAGAAAATGGACCATAGGAATGTAGCCTTTCTGTCCGCATCATCTTCTTTGATCACTACGTTTTTGCATTTTTATGACTGTCCTTTCTGATGTGGGCTAAGTATACCCAGCTTTACATGGACCGTTTGTATCTCACGCTCACACCCGGCGCCTTTTTCGTGGCCAGGGCTGTGGCCAGGGCCGTGGCCCAGCCCTGCCCAGCCCTGTGTGGCCTGCCCTTGAAACAACTTTTGATCATAGCCCAACTCATCTTCAGGTGCTACTTCCTGCTTAAGGCACTCTTTGAAGGGGAATTAAGCTGAACTTCATGTACTATGAAGGTCATGAAGGGCTTGTGGTGAGGGCCACGCGTGGCCTAAGCCCTGGCCACGGCCATGTGCCCCTCCAGGGCGCCTCGTGGCTTCGGGGCCCCGGGTGTGAGCGTGATTTGTATCATCGTAGTGATCACTGATGTGAAGCCTTATACATAAAAATGAGGCTGTCGACACCTGGACGTGGCCGCGCGAGGGGCGTAGTCAAGCTTACCTCCCTGCCGTTGCGATGAGAAGGGACTTTATTGAGTTTAACATGCTCCGAATTCAATCTTCTTGTGCACACGGGGAGCACGAGGTGAGTGGAATCCTTTTTCAGTAGTCTGCAGGGTCCCTCCTGGTACCTCTTCAGACTTCCATGGCTCTAGTGAGAACAGCCACATACATGTGGTTGAAATACCCAGGTTGATGATATCAAGGCAAACAGCCGGTGGTCTTTTTGCCGTTTCTCAATTGTTCATTTCAGCGAGACTTTGAACTTTCAGTAGCTTTACGACATTTTGAGACAGATTGAAATCTTGTTCTGTCAAGTATGTCTTGGAAAGGGTCGATCCCAATCTTTCATCTTTTACTTGTCTTCTTGCTCGTCGGAAATCTCGGCTCTCATATCTTCGTACATGCCAATGCTCTAGACTGCACCTACGGTTGGGGTTCACCAACCAACAAGCTCCCATATTGTCAGTCCAACATTTTCCTTCGATTCACAGTGACTCACTTCCTTAAAGTCAATCAATGATCTTTTACTTTTCAGGATAGTGTGAACTGACCCTAGACTTTTAACTCCTTGCCGAAATATTCACGCTCCCAGTGTGTCTAGTATCACAAGACTCAGGGGTGATAACCTATCTTTGCGAATGGTGTGGAAGGAATGATAAGCTGATACCATGTGCGATAGATTTTTTCGTTTTCATTCAATGGGTAATGTAAACAGACGGCTTACCTTGGTTTTCACACAGCTGCGAGTGATTGCGTTGATGTGGCTAATACCGTGGTGAACAAGGGAAAGTTATGGACTTGCGACGATGGAATCAAGAATGCCCTCTCCCCTCGGCCAGACGGCAGACAAATCGGTTAGTCTCATCTTGCATGTTGTACCTGAGCCTCATGTACTTTGACGGCGTACATTAATTCAAGAGATCTCAAGATGTCATGAATCCTGAGAAATCAGTGGTACACCTTGAAGGTTTTGTGCAACTTGACTCAACAGATTACTGACTTATTGGAATCACTTTAATTCCTGAACTTTGAAAACAATAGTTTGCCGGCACACCGAACAGGACAAAACAATAAACCCGTACTATTGCAAGACACAGGTTGTGTTTGAACGTACGTATAGGTTCTAGCACTCGTTTGTAGTCAACCATATGATATTCACTTTAAACTTGATAATCTTTGCTATGGAATCTAGAATGCCCGCGCGAAAAGTGCAAGCCACCACATTGATACCTTGCATTCATCACCATGCGGTCGGAATTACAATGTTTTTCTCGCGCATCTATGATTTTGTTGCTTGCAAAAGGTTCTATAAACAGTTCTTGTGAGTTTTGTCTGGTTGAACTCTTTAGCCTCAGGGTTAGGGAAACCATGTCGAAACAAATTCTAGTGGTGTTTTTTGGAATATTTCGTAACCAAACAAAAAGCACAATCTGAATGGCATTTGATAACCATCAATTCCAATCACCTCTTTATACTGAATACACCCCAAAAGAGATATCAAACTCTTGAGAAAATATTGTCTAACTGTTTTTGGCCACATGAATTTTTTTAAACACTTCAAAAGAGCAAAACCTGACTTTCTTTGTCAGGTGCTGGAATACCATCCTAGGATCCTCTCAAATACTGGTGGAATTGGAATGGAAGATAAAATAATTTGAGAACTGGAACTTGCTCAACTTTTCTCCGATGGGTCACTTTAGTGGATGTTTTTATGTTCAGCTCATCTTCATGTTATCATATGTGTGAAACAAGATGGTATGTATGAACCTGATGCAAAAGTTTCTCATACAGTTGTTTGGAAAAAGCTTGTCCAAATTTTTCCGCAAGACTCAAGCAATATGGCAGTGAATCTGTGACAAGCTTTTTGAAAACAACTGTACAAACTTGGATTGAGGTGGGTAGCTCAAAGAATTATGGGCTTGTGAGATGGATTCATCCTTCAACTTGTCTTTCCCAATGCCTAAAGTTCCATGAATATGATTATATTATCCTTGAGACATCTAATAAAACAAATAGAAGAAATTAAATCAATCAATTGAGCCATGTCCAAAGCCCATATCCCTCATTAAAGCAGCTCCTTTGTGCGAGATTTTTATTAAATGGGAAATTTGTGAAAGATCATTTCCTGGAGCCCATAATGAGTATTACATTTGCCAAAAATGATAAAATTAGTTTCTCACTGACTGGAAGTTCCTAAATCTAAGAATTATCACAACACAAGGAAGAACTTTCAAAACAATCATCAGAATAGCATAATATCATTATTAATTTTCTATTTTCCAAGACTCACTTAACAGTCATCAGAGCCATGAGATTAAAAAATGAAGTGTTCTCTTGAGCCACTCAGTGGTAGATAAAGGCGCTTTGAACTGTAGCTCTGAACAATATAAGATCCTTCTCTTTTCAAAGTAAGTTTTTATTTTTAGTTTTGTTTTGTGATCATACCTCTCTAGTTTCTTTTTCCAGTTTACACTTGCAAGTATCTTGGCATTATTGGCCCTGTCTTTTCCTAGCTTCAATGAGTCTCCTATCTCCATAATCAGTTGATGATCAATACCTTCATCAATCCACATCAAATAGTCTCCAAAATGCCACCAAGTGTGCATGTTGTTTCCAACATCATATGAAGATAGGGTATAGATATGGCTTGAGTCCAGGGTTTCAAAGGCCAATATGACAACTTGGAATCTCTCTTGATATAATTTCCAAAGTTCAGGTTGACTTTCTAGCCAAGCTCTTTCATGAGAATCATGCCAAGGCAACACATTGTTTTGAAGTACAAATTTCTCATACAAAATTTCCATCTTCCTTGGGACTTCCTTTGTGTTTTCAAGTGAGGTCCGACCAATATTGAGCTCTCCAAACTCTAATATATCTCCAATAGTCAATAATCTAACCAAGTCTATACCCTGTTTTCTTCCTTCTTGCAATCTTTCTTCATTCCACCACTTAGACAAATCCTTGCGCTTCAACAGGTAGGATATAATTCCCTTCCGTATTTCAAATTCTGAATTCATGATAGCCTCAATGGCCTTGACATCACTTGGCTCTTCATACATAACCTCAATCTTTACACTCATATTTTCCAATTCCATCTTGCTTAGATTTGTGAAATTTGCCCAAGGTATATCAGCTTGAAATGATAATAAGTGTATCTTTATTCTCTGTGGTATCAATCCTCCCTGGTCATTCGTCATCTCTAAAATCTTCAATTGATTGATCTGGCAATACATGGCAGCTGATCTCCTTCCAAATTCAGCATCACTCAAACTTGAGTTATCTTTCATGAAATCCAAGATTTCTTCATTCATTGGTGAAGGCTTGATGTGTTGATATTCCTCCTCAGTCACCTCAATTAGTAAAAACTTCTTTTTGTTCCTCAATCTTAGAATGCTTGAGTAATATTGTGCAGCCTCCTTGTTGCTTTCACTGATTTGCTTCTTGAGTCTTTCTCCAGCAATGAAATTGGATTGTGATGCAGCACTATTTTGATGTGTTGATGACCAAGCTATTTTCTTCAAATCAGACTTTGAATTTGAATTTGAAGATAAATCATGGTACTTGTCCTGGACAACATCTTCCATTCTTTCACTTCCAGAGCTACCACCCAAATCTTCCGGAGGTTTTATTGCTACTCCACCCACTGGAGTTTCTTTAGATCCTTTGGTGACTTCAAAGACTTTACCCTGCAGAACTTCATCATCATAAACCTCTTTTACATTTTCTCCACTGCTTCTTTGATCCCAAATTTTTTTTGCTCTTCTCAATATGGGATCTGGTGTTTTTTTCATACAACCCCAAAGTGAATATACCCGTTCCTGGATTGGTGGTATCTGTGGAAAGTAAATTGAGTGTTTTAGGTCTGATACTTTAGCTGATACTTTTTTCAACATTCCAGGATTTGAGTCAACACTATTCATGGAAGTCTGGGTCTGGGTATTGATACCAGGTGTGTTGATGACTGTGGCCTTTGAACTCAGTTTATCCTTTGAAGCCCATGTTGAAATCCTTCTCAAGACAAGTTCTGGATTGATTTTCATCCAAATCCAAAGTGCAGATAATCTTTGTTTTTTTGATGGGATGTTTTCAATATAGCTTACTAGTTTGAGGTCTGGAAAGATGGAGGACTTGTTCAACAGCCCATAGTTTGATCTAGCCAAAACTTCAGGAGGTGCAATTCCTGTATCTTCATCTGATATGGTACTGCTTGAAGCCTTTAAATCTGCTTTGATGTATGGGGCTCTTTTAGAACCACTCAACCTTTCTTTTTTTTCTTTTGGATGACTTGACACTACTAGGAACTATGAATTTATCTGTGGTCTCCTTGAGATTGTCACTTTCAAGTATCTCAAAGGTGGCCTCTCCAGGTACCTGTTGGTTGAAGTTTAGTTTTTCTGGTGATAAATTCCTAAAGGCAAGGGGTAGAATCTGTTAAGTTGACTCATAGCAACTTCTCACGCAAAAAAGGATTTCCTGAGTTTTGGGCTTACTTGTGATCATGATCCTTTTGTATATCATTTGCTTTTGTGTTTAATTTCACCTTGATTTTCCATCCCTCAGGAGTTTGTTCTGGGCTTTTCAAAGACAGCTTCTTCCCAACTTTTTGAAAATCATCATACTTCCCAATATTTTCACTTGTGTTCCCTTCTTGTAATATCTTCTTAAGAAGTGGTGTTCCTGCTGATTCAGCTCTGTAGATGAAAATAAACTAATCAGATCCCTCCTTCTGAAACAGATCCTGTAAAAACTTACAACCTTTTTACTTCCTTTTGTGCAATCATATCTATAGGACCTTTGTCACAAGGTAGATTGGCACTCTGGTTATCTGTGATCCTTTCAAAACCTGCACCTGGGACCTCAGGGCTCTCTTTCAAACTTGAATTGATCTCTTTCAATGTAGAAAATGTATCTGTAGGCTTTGTTGCATCTGTTGTTGGATGTTTTACAATCTCTTTTTTGACATATTGGTATACATTTTTAGTCTTTTGAAGGGTGCTTGGTTGAGCTTTTCCTTTCCTTCTGTATGCCTTTTGAGTGACTAATTGTGGCAGTGTAATAGATTTCTTGGTCGCACCTGTTGGTGGGCTGTCTGAAGGTTGCTTTGCAGTCTGAATAAAAGTGGTGTCAGACACCAGGTCTTTCTTAAGGGATTCAAGGTTATATAAATCCTTTCTTGTATGAAAAGTCAGGTAACCTGCTGCATCTTTCAGTTTACTGATCCAGAGATCCATGTCAAGAGTTTCTTGACTGATGCGTAATTTGTGTTTGTCCATGGATACTGAATCCTTGCCACTTTGCATCAATCTAGTTATCTCTTCATTGTCTTCTGGTCCAGCTGGCCAGAGTTGCATAATCTTATGGTTTGGATGGGTTGTGTGATGTTCATTTGATAGACACCCAGAAGTGTGTGGTAAATCTTCTTGTGGTTGTTGGCTCACCCAATTTTCTCCAATCAAACCTTTGTCAGTTTGACCAATACTTGTGTTTGGTACAATTCCCTGACTATCATCAATACACTTTGCTACACCACCAGCATTCATGGAAGAAGCTATCAGGTTATTTACATGCCGGCTGGAGTTTGGCCCTGTGGAGTAGTTAGTTCTTTGGATCCTTCTTTGTTTGAATTGAGAGCTGTGTGTATAAAGGATGTTGCTCAGTTTTCTCACAGATGAAACATAGATTGAGGAACCCTCACAAGTCATTCTCCTCAACATTGTTTCGAGTTCTTCCAGAAAGTTTTTTTAAGTCAAATACAGAGGTCTTCCCAATCTCTGATACATTTTTATCTACATGAGGAGGACTAAATCCATTTTCTATTACTGCTTTCTCTTTAGTCTGAATTGTTCTTGTGGGATTCTTCTCTTTGATAGTTTTGCTATTCAAGGGTGAAAATTTGGCCTGAGACCCTATGCCAATTTGCTGAAATTGTGTATCCAGTTGGGTGACTTGAAACCCAGGAGAGTGAGAATATTCTGGCTGGGTATGTGGGGAAGATGAAGTGTTCACCTCGCTAGGAGAAAAGGCAAAGCCACTATTGGGATTTTGACAATGCATCCTTGTGCTATCTTCTGGATATGAGTTGCTAAGTTCTACCTGGCAACTTTCACAAGGCTTTTCATTTTGAAGTATTTCATGATGAGCAAAGAATCATATCAGCTAGAAAAAATTGCTTACCCTATTATTCTGGTCCCAATAGTAGGAAGGTGTGGGCGTGTTATATGATGGATATGCCGGAGCAATCATTGGAGACTGGAAATCAGACAAAAGGTGCATGGAATACGGTGATGAAATTGATACAGCAGGATAATAAGGGACATATGTGATACCAGAGAGAGGATCCACTAAGGGAGGAGGCATATGGTATCCATATTGAATTGAGCAATGCTGTATTGGATGGTCAGAATACAGATATGGTTCAAGATGCTGTTGGCCCATGTCATTAAATTCTCCAAAAGATCTGGAATGGCAATTCAGTGGGGGACTTGAATAGATGGATGCAGGAGAAGCTTCATGATATTCTTCCCCATGACTACATATTGGGTGAGAGTCTTGTGGTCCATTCAAGTGTGTTTGTAATGTGCTTTGTTGGTTTACTGTAGAGTGGATTTTGTGTCCTTGATTGTTTACTTGCCAATTGCCAGTCTACTGGAGCAAAAAATAGACATCAGAAATCATGCATCCAACACCAGAAGACTCGTACAGAGATGCGGCTTGAAGTGATGAATAGTACGTGCCATTTCAGACTGATGGTATATGCCCTGTCCCATATTATGCGCAAGTAATTGGGGTTTTCCTGCTTCAACAGGGTCTGACAATGTATTGTGAGCTGTCCTTTCAGCCTGTCCAGCGCAGGGCTCAGGTGCGTTGTTGATAAGGACGCTTCGCTGAGCGGACCGGATAGACGACGACATCGCTTCCTCTGTTGGAATTGAGTCTCGAGCGGTCTCAGAGGCGAAATGCTCGGTTGTAGACCTAAATGCAGGTTTGTATAAATTCACCGAAACACATCTGTGCTGTGATAACGTCACAAGGATTATAGTCCAATATACCAGAATCATTACTGATGTGAGGATTCTTGATGATGCAGGAAGCGCAGAATTTTTGTATCGTTTAGAAGGAGGTTCTCTTAGCGCTCGCAAATCGATAAGAAGTTGACCAAAGCTGGGCTCTTGAACTTCAACTGTCTACTTGCACTACTGACTTGAGATAAGTTATCATCGCTTATCATAGCACGCGGGGCGCTTGGAGTAGAAACTCGAAGCCTGTTTCTGAAGCGTTTGGGAAGCTGAGTCGTATATCAGAGGAGTTTCAACTTTCGTGTTATTGATATGACTCGCAAGCCTTGGTGATACATGGCGGAGAAATCTGAAGGACTTGAAAAATGCTCCGAACGATAACCTTCTCAGATGAGCTAATTTTAAATTGACTGCTATGCCAGACATACCCTCAGCAACATTTTATAATACGGTGTAAACTAGATGCGGTGTAAAAATCCAAATTTCCCCACCTAAAGTCGAATTTTACACCGGACTAACATTTCGTAAGTCCGTGCAAAGAACAAAGGTGTTAAAACACCGGTGTAAAAGTGATGCATCCGGTCGCGGTGTTCAATTTTCCACCGCTTTATTTGACACCGAATCATCCGGTGTAAAAGATGTAGTGTAAAAATGTATAAGTAATGTCAAAAGTTACATTTTTACACCGAAAAGCTTTACACCGAATGATTTGGTGGAAATAGCCCGGTGCCAAACTCGAAAAAAAGTCGTGCAAAGTGGAATTTTGCACCACTTTTCACGAGTTTTTACACCGTTTCGTATTTGAGCGCCCAATGACCATGTTTTTGATTACAATCAAGATAACAATGAAGCAAAATAAGGAAATAAAAAGATGAAACCATGACATATAAACCCAACTACCACAACCCCCCCCAAAAAGAAAGGAAAACAAACAGCTTCTCCCTCAACGTTTGGCCGCACGCTTTCTTACTGGTTTGTCAGACGGAATCGATTGACTGAACTCATCCCCAGTGTGCCTCTTCGAGCGTCTGGTTTTCGGCACTGATTGGATGGAGGACAATGCCAGTTAACCAAAAGAAATGATGAATCTTTAGCAATAATATTGAGAATCTTACGTCGGTTTATGTCTTCTACTGTAGCCTCCTTTGGTGTATCTTGCTCTCCTTGGTCCGGTAAAGCCAATTTGACCTTGATCTTAAGAGGTTGAGGTTGAGGATTGATGATTATTGACGAACAATCACCCTTTTTGTCATCTGCATGAGGTATGTTAAGAGGTCTGTTCAACTCTAGATTTTCTGCAAGTTCGGGTAGTTCATGATGTTCAAAACTGTCATCAATGCTTTCGGCGTGTTCTTCATCGTCAGAAGCTGGCAGGCCTCCTCCTACCGGAAATTTCTCTGAAGGCATTGAAAAAGGGATTGTTGTGATGTGATCTGGATGCTTCTTCATCATACTCCTGAGTGAATTGGCGATATGCGTGGCTTCATGCTTGAAGGGCATTCGTGAATAGCACACCCAGCTTGTGTGAGCGTGACACCCACCAATGCTGGTCACATCTCGGTCCCCAAGCTGAGAGATACCCCCGTTTTGCATTTCATCATAATGCCAAACACCCAAGATGCCCTCGACTGAGCGCACTACCTTGCACCAGTAATGGTGACTACTCCAGAATCCACGAGTCATCATGAAATATTCGATTGGGCCAATGGAAATGCGTGCTGGGAAATTAGTGCCCTGGAAATCCGCGCGGTCTGGTCCTTCCAAGGCGAGCACATTTTCAAGAAGAAAATAAAGGTGTAAAGGTGCATCACTGGCGTCTATAAGTTGAATCGTGAGGGT